TTTGCAGTGTTTTTTAACTGGTATTTGCGGTGTTTTGTGCAGCTCGAGTCAAAAAAGTCATGGTATTTACAGCATGTTCTTCTTTTTTGACTTGCTGCCGCAAGAGACGTCAAAACGCAAAAAAGCTGTAGTGTACAGCATTTTGTTCCTGTCGAAAAGCTCCCCTAAATGCGGACCTAGGGGGAATCGATACCCTACCGTCACCCTTTTGCCGCATGGTACATGACCCTGAAAAACGCTCAAAAAACACACCCTCCACGCCAGCTATTTGCGCCAAAACGGGACACTTTGGCAACGCCTGCCCCCAGACCCCTAGGTACTCACTTTGTTCGCAAACAGCAACGATCCAGCTAGCTGGCTTTCGTAATTTACAAACATGATCCCATTACATCACACTACGCTGTGCTGCTCAAAGTAGCATCCCACCCGATATGGTATCGTGCCTGCGGAACCATTCCAGAGATCGCAACCAATCGCCAAACAAAAACACAAAAGAGGGAAATTCAAATAATTCCCCTTGTCATTTGGGTATATGACAGCTATAACTGTTCTAACCATGGTTACTGGTTACTGCTAGTCTAAAAATGTACCAGAAATGTACTGTAGCTGGCTTACCTCTTGTAAACGAAGATTCACCATGTGTGAACTTCAGGACTCAGAACCAGATAGGGCTTGGGATTTTCTGTTTTTTTTCAGCATAATAGACCCCACAACTGGGACAACTGGGAGTAGTTATGTATTTGGAGCAGTAATTCCGCTGGTTGTCGGCCCGCTGGGCCACCTCTGCATAGCGCCTGCCAGACGAAGGCGCACGCTTCGGCGCCGGCCTCGGTTCTGCTGTTAACATTGTTAACTAGCTAGCAAATACACACAACGCATACCTACACAGCCATGTGCATATATGATCATATATGCGCATATCTATATATATACATATACGCTACGATTAAATATGTTGTATCTACACATGCGCGCACACACACAGATAATTATGTATATATACATGTACAGTATATACAAATATGCTAGAAAATTTAGATAGATAAATGTACAGCAGATTGATAATTATAGATAAAGAGAGAGAGAGGGAACATAGCCCCTATAAGCCACTTTGATGCACGTTGGACGCATGGAACCAACCAACTCTAGGCAAATGACTTGCTAAGAACCCTTCTTGAGCGGCTTCCCGTAGACAGAAGTCTGATCTTTGATTACGGTAATTCCTCAAAGCAGGGCTTCCCATACTGCGTGAAACAGGGTATAGCGGGTGCAAGGACAAGTGGTGTGTCAAACCAAGGGGCGCAACGCCGTAGCTGCCGTAGCTGTCTCTGGCCAGGCACTCACAATCATCACCAGAATCTCAACGATTCAACTAACCTCCTCAGAGGTGACCCCCTTGAAGAACTGATTCACCACCAACAACCACCAACAAACCAATGACTCTGAGATGTGCACACTGGGCCACTTCGATAGGAGCTCCCCCTGGCGCCAGGAGGAACCACAAACAGGGAAAAGTGGCCACGATCCTTCATGAATAGCACCAGGGACCAATGGAGACATCTGCGTCAAATCCAAACATAGCAAAATAGCGAGAAGTTTGTATGCTATCTTGAAGGCAACATGAGAAACAGCTCGCGATGGGAGTCAATGATTAGCAGCTCCAATCACAGCGGCGTTTTTTGAATTGGATAGCGTGCATCTCAACCATTGCCCCTCAGGAATGAATTGCTGGAGATTCCGTGGGTCCATCGAATCACTGCGGGATTGTCAAGCCATTTGAAGCTACTCCAGGCAGGGCAAAGATGGGCAAAGCCTCCACATGAATCTGTACTTCATTTATTGCTGGATAGAATTGGATAGATTCTATGAGAAATGCCACTTTGCAAAGGAAATTGGATGATATTGTGCTGAGGGACTTGACAGTCCTCATGAAACGTCCAGCTATGCTGCTCTTCCTGTGAGAGCAGTGGACATGTCGATGCCAGCTAGGAGATCAGCTCCTTTATATGTAGAACGGTCTGGTGGATCATCTTGACAACATCCCAAACAAATAGGATGTCAGAAGTATGTCAGAACCCTGGCGGCACTTTATTTGCCGTCAGCACTATTGATTATATATTGTCTGTGCTCGCCAGAGAGTGGACTATTCGCAGTAGATGGCAGTTTCAGATTTGAGGCTGAAGACGTAGCCAGCAGCTACCCTGGTATTGACACAGCAGCGAGACGAAACATTTTTGAAGTCACGTCCCAGGGCTAATCTACTTAAAACTTAGATTGGCCAAACTAGCTGTACAAGCTTCGCGCCGTCACCCGAGTTTTCCACTGGAACCTTGAATTGATGAAACTCAGCGCTGCCAAGCCAGCATCACGCTTCTGGACACATGACTCTGCCACCCACACGACTGTTTGCGGTGCAACGTTGGCAATGATGAATTTTGAATATTCAGCATGCACAGTATATATTGTATTATATATATATATATTGGTGCATGTGTGTGCGTGATCATCCCAGAGAATTCAAAACTTAGGATTTTGGTCGGGACAGGCCCAATCATTCAGAACATGTTTGAACGTTTTCGTCTTCACCTTTTCTTTATTTTTGCTCCGTGTCTTGACACATGTCTTCGTCTTCCTGGTCGATGCAGAGGTTCTGAACCCAAAAGATGTCATGCGGCAGCTGCATGCCCTCAAGCGGTGGGAAACGCCAGCCACAAGCTGGCATCCTGCCATCAGATGGCATCAGTACTCGACGCCATGTTTCCTGAGCAAGGCTTCGGCTTCAGGTCTCCAGTAGTCCTCGGCTACGCTTCGCTTGGATCTCTGCAGGTCATGCTGTAAGACACGTCCGTTTTCCGCTTGTTTCGAGCACCACACGTCCGTAGGCAGATGCCATACCATATGCATATGATATGAGATCTGGTATCAAAGTGAGGCCCTCATGGCTTGTCAATGAGCAGTCGGCCTGTACATAAACCCTCTCTATGCGGATATGCATACACACACATATGTATGTATATATATATATATCACATCATATATATATATATACATATCATATATATATATATATACATATCATATGTATAAATGTATGTATGTCCGTATGTCCGTCTGTCCCAGTTGATAAGTCCCGCCGTGGCTCCGAGGTGGAGAGACGAATGCCGAAGCTCAGGGCCAGGTTTCGGATCATACAGGAACATCTCATGACCTGGCTGTACCCCCCAAAAAAAAGATGATCTATGGAAAAGCCCAGGAAAGATAGGAAAGTATGGATGATAACTGGGGGTACCCAGTCAAACTTTTTTGAAACCCCCAGATATCACCTTCTGTCAAGTTATGTCAAAGTGTTTCACTTCTGAAAGAAGGGAAAATGCGGGGAAAAATGTGGATCGTGTGAATCTCCCCCAATCAAACTGGATTCTTACATGTCCATCATTTCAAATCATGTCCCTGCTCTTGGGGGGATATTATGGGATCTTCATGTTAGCCGAGTGCTGCAGAGCTGCCAAATGCAGATCCCTTGGCATCTCTAGCAGGGGATCTTCCTCCTCAGCCCAGGCCAGAAAGTCGTGGAAGGATTGGCCACTGGTGACGTCATCCGTGTCCCGGTCCAACCAGAAGGTCACCACCCGATACCTGGAGCTGGAAATAGCTGGAATAGGTGGACGTATTCCAAAGGAGCTGGACCCAGGGCTAAGTTTCTACTTGGCGTGTACATATGAAAATGCAATATATATAGATATGCACTCTTTATAACAAGATGATCAGATGTTGTGAAATGGTGGGAAATGACCTAGTTGAGGGATCGTCTCAGAAGAATTCACCCAACTGGCTGGAGCAAAAAATTCTCCCCTGGTTTGGCACCGGCATTTGGGGATCTCCCTCTGGCAAGCAATGGCAATGGAAAATCGCTCATTTATATCTGTTATAAATCCGAAAATCAGTCTATTAGAAATCAAAATGTCCAAGAGAATTGTTCAATTCAAACCTCGACTTAGAGATGGTGTTCCCATGTGTTCCCACTTTTGCCAGCTTTGAACCTCCAGATTTATCACAGCATGTTTGATCCCGCCTCACGTCAGCCTTGCCCAGCTGGGTGCGACTGCCCATCTCCTGACCCCAGGGACCCCATTGTTCATGAGTTGGAGCAACCCTGGCCTGGCAATGCCTGGCATATCAAAGTATGTATGTATATATATATATATATGTATATGTATATATATATATCAATGTCTTCTACCCTACGGATTTTCCCTCAACCGATTCCTTCCTGTCGAAATCCGATTTGGCGTCATGATACAAGTATTGGGCTTCCATTCATGGCAAACCGTTGTTTTGATGTTGGGGTTCGGGACAGGGAAAGAAAGAGATGTTCAAACTGTTCAATCATTTTTGATCCAACATGGCAATGGAACATCATTGATCATCGAAAATGAACAGCCCATTCAGTGGATGACCGACAGATGCCAACAGGGACCACCTCACCCAGTCCCGACCGGCCAGGCCTTGTCCAATCGAACCACTTCAGCCTCATCGCGGCGAGACAAGGCGATAATCAGCTTGGCCAGTTGCACCCGAAAGTCCAGGGACAACTCCTGCGCGCCATGCTTTGCCATGGGTGCCATGGCTGCCATGCGAAATGTAGGGAACCTATGGGGAAGAAAGAGAGAATGTCTAAAGCCAAACGAAGGGTGCAGCCCATGTGTGTTTGATGAAGAGTATGAGTGTGCCGGTAAGTCGTTTCCGTGTTTGTGGATATAATGTGTAATCCTCCGTGACGTGATAAACATTGATAGAATTATATAAAGAGTATGGTCTATAATGGTCAACCTTCACGGAGTTCATCAACTCCAAACCAAAAGATGCTACATGTCAGATGCGATGTCCAAGAGACAACCCTTAGCAAAAAAAACATTAAGTCTGAGACCTTGCGTGTTGCGCCAGAACAGAAAACGAAAACACAGTTGATGAAGTCTTACACGAATGTGTCTGAAAGTAGAGCGCTCTCAATTGTCATGGATGATCATCAGGTTCCTTCTTAAAATAACTATATATTCGGGGGTTAAATTGGTTAAATCATGTTACAGTACAGTAAATCTACCATTTTTCGACACACCTGCAGATACCCTGCAGATAGCGTTCCTTGACTTGACCGAAGTCGATCAAGCCAATTCCATCGCTCTGAGCGCCGTGGAGCAGCATGACATTGCCGGGGTGGGGATCAGCATTGAAAAGCCCATCCACAAAGACTTGTTCTCCGTGGATCCGCATCAGCCTCGATTCAACGACACACCCCGAAGTTTCAGCATCAACACAGAGTTGCACAAATCTTGGTGAAGAACTGTTCTGAGCAAACAAATTGCGTTGACTACCCTTCTCCCAATCTGAGGACGACTGTCATTTTGGCCAGAGCCAACCCAGTTTGCCCATGTTTGCCCCATCATCTATGGTATCCAGTGACTGCTCCATCAGCGCCGGCAAATTGATGTCATCTGCTCCGCGCGCGCGTTGCATCATCTTCCAAACACTCGCACGCCAGCGGGCAGAGCGCGCCTAAAGGTGGGGGGGAAGGCATGGACCAAAGTTATGAAGCTTTCAAAGAGCAAAATTATTTAAAGTAAAGAGCAATTATATTGTGATCTATCTATCTACCTATCTACCTATCTACCTATCTACCTATCTACCTATCTACCTATCTATCTATCTATCTATTATCTATCTATCTACCGATCTATCTAGCACAGAGGCATCAACAAAGTGAGATGTATTTTGTATTTATTCACGTATGATTATATTCATGTATGCCTGCGCGCGTGTGCGTGCGTGCATTTAATATGTGTATGCATATGTGTATATACATACATATACATTATGTATTGTATACGTATATTTCCAAGAAATGGGAACAACAACCTCTCCATGGGTTTTTTTCTGCGGCTCCCGGCGGTGCGCGGCATGAGCTTGCCCGTGCGTAAGGCTTCCAGGTGATGAGATAGGAACCTGGTGCTTCCAGGCTTCCAGGTGGGCGGCACGACTTACGGTATGACGTGGGATTCCAACCATCATTATAATGGGTGGTTTATGACATTGTTATAGCCACATTAATGAGATAAATTGGATGCATCCATCATCCACCAATTCTCCATGTCCCATAGCCCCATAGCTATCGGATCAGAAAGCGCCAGCTCCACTGTGCCGCCGCGGCGCTCATCCGGGTCGCGGCCTGCTTGCGTCGCAGCGCTGCGGATGCGCCGCAGCATGCCGTCGACCAGCTTCTCCCCATCGAGGAATTGCTGGGGCGAAGCCATGGGGAAAGCCATGGTGAAAGCCACGAAACCAGGATAACCAGGATCATGTGACCATCGAATGCCGAAGCAAACATCACCAAAGCATACCAAACGGCGCCTTCTAAAGGATTTGTTCCGGTGGATTGTCTGAACCAGCATGTTGGCATGCTACTAGTATGTGGATATATATGATGATAATTGATGATATATGTGGATACGTGTGGCACAAAGCACACATGTTATCACAATGACAGTCACACGTGTGCAGATCTGTCCGGGTCTTGAATATCGATGTGTTTGTGAATTGCTATACGTACCTCTGCGAACGCATATGCAAGTCTTAAATTGATGGTCATCCCAGTATGGCTTCGTGATGCTTCATACCTGTAGTTGTCAGCAAGATCTTCCACCAGCACCAGCTGGCGATGGGTCCAAGGTTCCATACAAAGGACTCTTCTGGTACAAAGCTCTGGGAAGGTCTTTGGAATGATGACACCTTGGAGACAGTTTTGCGCTCCCATGAGCTAAGGGTCGTCCACAAGGGTTCCCAATACCATAGAACTCCAAAAATCCAACAAGGAAATTGAAGCCGGAGAAAAGTATTCATGAGCGCCAGGACAAGTGTTCTTGGGAGGTGGCTCCAAATATATAAATATGTCATATTTCACTTTTGCTCTCGCAAGACTACCCAAGCATGTCTTGTCGGCATCCAGTCATGTCCAGGTTCGGTCCAATAGCCAAGCACCCGGCGATCACCCCAGCGTTTTTGCACATTGGTGCGGACCTTCTCCATGTTCTCCCGCTCTAAGGTATAGTCAAACTCGGATTCAAACATTTTTTCCTCAGCAACTGGATGTTCACCGTAAAAATCAGTCAGTGCCAAGGCTGAGCGCAACAAGAACAACCCACCACAAATACATACAAATACTAGACTACAGTGTGGCCCAAGAGAAAAAACGGGTTGGAGTAGATCAAAAGGGGATGGAAAAGAGAGTATGAAGATGGCGGATGGTGAATGATGAAGGATATTGAATGATGAATGGAGTTCTTAATCCATGATGATTGATGAGGTGTTTACAGACGGAAAGTTTTACCCAGAGAAGTCTTTACGCAGAAGAGTTTTTACACAGAAATCTTTACACAGAGACGTTTTTAGACATAGACGCTTTTCCACAGAGAAGCTTTAATATGTTTTGACCTAGATGTCTTCGCGGCGGCGGCCGGAACGGACGGGAATGCAGAAAAAATATGGAAAAACAAGAACCCCACACAATGATGTGGGGAATAAAGTTTAAACAAAGGATACTAAATAGCAGCTAGCCCAGTGTCCAGCTCGCTGATATGGTCAACCGCCCAGGGAAAAGCAAGTCCTTGGCATCACCAAAGTGAAAGATCTCTTTTCAACTGGTATCTTGCAGCGAGTCGGTTGTACAGGCCTGAAATCCAAGGTCTACAGAATGAAATTGAAGAGAAATTGGCAACAGATATGACCATGGCCCAGGCGGCCCAGGTGCTGGTAAAAATCTTCAGCGTACGGATGTCCACCCTAAAGAGCCGTTCCGCTCCGGGCATCTGCACCTGCCATGCTGTGTCATGGTAAATCTTCCAAAGTTTGGTGGCGAAACTCTCGCACTGGTGCCTTGATAGCAACATCTTCACCGGTGGACCGAACTCGGGCTTTGTATACCTTCGCGGGTTTGCTATAGACCAGTTGGATTCCAGTTGGTCAGCACAGGTTCGAACAACGACACAGCAAACCATACAGCACCTGCCCAATTGAAGCAGAGCCAATAGGCTTGCTGCTCCAATCCTTGAAGGCTTCTTCCACTCGACCTGTCGGGCGTGACTGTCCGCTGGCCAATCGAGAAAAAGCCGCTCTCTGTTGAACCATTGAAACCCTGGGTTTCTATCCAAACACTCCATGAAACGCATGGAAGCAGTGACAACCAGTGCCTAGCCCTAACTCTTTGGCGACACAGCGTTTCGCACTTTCGGCGTCCAACGCCACGGGGGCTTCTGCCTGTCCCGAAAGTCTAGGTCAATCAGAGGCTGGAAAGGAAGCCCACGTGAAACCACCCGGAAGTGATTTGGATATATTTGGATATTGGTTCCGGCGGGTGCAACATGCAATGATGAACAAGTGTGTAATTGCACACGAAAAAGTGATATTCAATGATATTCAGTCAATCTATGATACAACCAAAAATATTGCAACGCGAGCAGGATTCAGGATTGATAGCCTAATTGAAATCGCTATAATTCGGTATATATCGATACTATTGGTTGTCGAACCCGCATGTGGCATGGGCATTTTTTGCCCCATGGGGATTACAGTACATAAAGCAATAACCGAAACATACCGAAACATAATAAGACATCCTTATTTTTCCTCACTAATATGAGAAACTGGTCCTAGTTAAAGGGCATTGCAAATGCTCCAGTGTTATCAATGGCCCATATTGACCCGTACCAGCTACCAATTAGGAGCAACTTGCCTGTAGCTTTTTGGCCCAGTCCAGATATTGCTTTGGTACATAGTCGTCTCGCCTCAGCTGAGGTAGAGCTATACATCGATATGGATTGCGTGGATCTGCAGTCGAGGGACATGGAAAAGAATTGAGCGACTTTCAGGTAGTAGCCGCGCAGTCTCAGAGTAGCATCCCTCACGATGGGGGAATAGATGTCATGCAGCCTCTCCTCGGCTGGGCATTTGGTGCATTCCCGGCAGTTGTTATTCTTCGTTGACCCAGAAATGTGTCGGAACCTGGGTCCGGAAAGGCCACAGAAACATACCAAGCACCGGTAAAACCAATTTTAGGACCGCGAGCAATTTGCCTCTTCCCATTCTAGCCCCCTTTTTCCCAGCTCCCAAATGCATAGCACCTGTTGCCAAAGCGACAAACTCCGCAGATCTCTCTGGAGAAGTGGCTGGATGGGAAATTTTGTCCACAAATTTATAGTGCCTCGGCTTGAACGTGCAGCGACACAGTTGCTGCACCATTGCTGCAAAAATGGATGTGCTGTCGCGGTCAAGCTGCGCATAGATAGGCAATACACACACCCAAAAATCTGCACAACGTCTGCAACCTGAGGCCATGAATTGGGGGGCCGAAATCATCCAGAACATGGATTTGGAAAAGTCAAGGGCTGGGGAAAGATATGAAAATGGCTGTTTGGAGAACACCAATGTGCTGTGATGAAATAAGCAAACCAAGGACAATGGACATTGAATCGTTATGAATAGCTTGGAGCATGGTCGGAGCATGGTTCTTTCCTGCGTGACAATACCGGTTGCATCTCAGCGCAGCTTGACCCTCACTGTTTTGCAATCCCAGCCTTCATCCACCAAAGTTGCAATGCCAATGGCGGAGGCAGTGATTGTTATGCCTGCACGGATCAAAAGTCACATGGACCGCCAGAACGTCACACCCAAGTTTACCTGGCAATGGAAATTGCTTTGTTAAGACGGTAGCGATTTTCTATTGCCATGTGTGCTTTCCAGCAACCAGCCCGAACCCTCCCAACCATTCCCAACCCATTTGCACCTCCCAAGCCTGTCAAAGCTCGGCGCGGCCAAACCCCCGCGGCCGCACTTTGGCCGCTGAGGTGTCGGTACGCCCATGGCCGCAATGCAGCCACCCTCTGCCGCGCCGAGTCAAAAGGGCGCATCACACGAGGGCGCATGGCGGGCAGCGATGTTGAAAGCGAGACGTGGGCCCCGAAACGTCGATGATTTTCTATGGCTGACCCGAATAAACAAAGCAGCGCAACGCAGCGTATGTCCCGGCTTCACGCTTGGTCACTTGGTGTGACTGAACCATTAATCCGAATGACACCTGGCACTCACTTTCTTGAGCAGAGAATGTGGCATATCAAGCCGCCGGCGCAGGCGCATCTCGCCAAAAACTTAAGTGATTCTGCTTGGAGTTCTGGGACTGTTGACTCAGGTTTAGATCCTGCCTGGCTTTACGTTGGAAAAGGTGCTCAAGAAATTGAAATGCATTTTCCCAGCGATCTGCATGTTGTGACTTTGATTTTTATCAGCTCCTGGGGCCAAAACTGCAGAGTCTCCAACATATTCCAACTTCACATCCCAAAAGCAGGTAGAAACAATGGCACAATGGTAGCTGGTAGCATAGCTGGACAGCCAAGGCACAGAATCCTCTCTTTGGGCCTCGAGGATCGAGCTCAAACTTTTGGTGCGCGTTGATGACAAACTAAGACTCCACATCGCAGCAGTCACTTGCGACATCTTAGACTGCAGGGTGAATATTCAAAGCCCAGGTGCGGTGGCTGCTGTGGCTGCGGTGCTTGGGGATTTTGGGGCTGCTCTTGGAGCTGTAAGAGCCGCCTGCAGCTGGGACACAAGTCACGGTGAGCCCGTGTGCGGTCAAAATGTCGGGGGGTTATGGTGGATTAACTTGATTATTGTTCATGATTGATGATGATCAATTATTCCTGTTAATGATTATTGCTGATTTTGGGCATGCCCCCTGTTCTTGGATGGGTTCGACATGTTTTGTCGTTGAGACCAGGTTTTTGAGACCGGTTTCGTAAAATTGGTTGCGCTCGCACCGGCCTCCTTTCTTCACGTTTTTGTTTTTCTCGCTCTCTCTCCTGAAAAAAGTCAGGGCAAACATGATGAAATGGAAAGAACCCTAAAATTCGCAGCATTCCCACATTTGATATTGGCGGGGCAAAAAAAATACGTGCACGTGTTTCCTTTGTTGTTTCGATGCCTTCTTCTGATCAACATTTCAGACACTAGTTTCCCCGTTCCTCAGCCAACATCTTCGCTCGTATCTCCTCCTCTTGCCTCGCAATCATTCGCATCGCGAAAAGTCATGAATAGTCATAGGCTGCAAGTATGGCCGATTTCCATGCCCATCACCATTGTCAGCGCTGGGACTGCAAACTTCTCAAATGAATTGAATGATGTTGGATGAATCTTCAAAGATAGGAACCTTATTGTAGGAGAAGTTTGTTGTTCCGAACCATGAATGGCAGAGCGAGCCCATTGGTGGATAGAGAGGTGGTTGGAGCGTCAGGACATCTATCTGTCTATCTGTCTATCTGTCGTCTATCTGTCTATCTGTCGTCTATCTGTCTATCTGTCTATCTGTCTATTTGTCTATTTGTCTATTTGTCTGTTTGTCTATTTGTCTATTAGCTATGATTCAACCCACAGCAAACTTCATTGACCCCTGGTGGGCCCCAAATGACAACATGGACTCCCCTGCCTCTGGGACTCCTGCGGGGCCTGTGCAGCGGGCTGGCGCCAGCCTCTGGACACCTGATGGCAGAGTTTTCTGATGGCAGGATGCTACCAGGCCTGCGGCTGGCGCGCCTTGGGAGCTTCTACAGGAGACAGGTCCACCTGCCATGGGACCCACGGGACGCACGCGCTTGACGTGAATCTGGACAGCAGCGTCTGTTTTTTTGAGGATCCTCGTCCAAGGAAAATCGGCGCCTCACTGCCAGAGTCTGAGCCACTCCTGGCAGTCATCTGTACAGATAGCTACAAAATGTTGTACAATGGTTGTGCCAGATTGCAGCACTCAACAAAGCAAAGAAAAGTTGTGTGTGTGTGTGCGTGTCTCCTTTCCACGTCCCCAATTCTATGCACTAGCTATCATGTGGATTCGCACAAACAGCCATCATCTTCGTGTGCTCTTGTGGGTCTTGCGGGCGCCCTTTGCCGTGGCGCCTGGCCCGGTGTTTCCCATGGTTTTGCAGGTGCCGAGAGCGAAGAGGAGCAAGTTAGGAAATTTCAAGTTTGAAGAAGAAGTAAAGTAATGAAGACAACCAAGTAAAACAAATGATTAAGACATCAATATATACAGACAGATGTACCTTCTCTCAATGGCACCGCCCCCGCCTTAAGAGAGAAGAACTACCGAGGGAGAGAAGAGAAGACGTAAGATGTGAAGATGTAACAGGAGCAGACGTAAGATGTGAAGATGTAAGATGAGCAGACGAAAGATGTGAAGATGTAAGATGAGCAGACGAAAGATGTGAAGATGTCAGATGAGCAGACGAAAGATGTGAAGATGTAAGATGAGCAGACGAAAGATGTGAAGATGTAAGATGAGCAGACGAAAGATGTGAAGATGTCAGATGAGCAGACGAAAGATGTGAAGATGTAAGGTGAGCAGACGAAAGATGTGAAGATGTAAGATGAGCAGACGAAAGATGTGAAGATGTAAGAGGAGCAAACGTAAGATGTGATGCAAGATGAGCAGACGGAAGATGTGAAGATGTATTACAGCAGCTCCTTTTTTGAAGAACCCTACGCTCAGACGCTCTCGGGGAAAAAATAATTGTGAAACTGCTGGGTCTCCATCCAAATCCAAATCATCCAAGTCCAACCAAATCCAACAAAAGAATTACATGGTTCCATCCCAACAAATCCAATGGTTTCTACCTTCCACCCCCCTGCCTGTAGCTCCCCTCGGAGCTATGACCGCTATGGTCTGTAGAGATGGATCGCCGCGACTCGCCTTACAAGTACAGCCCACTGGCTCAAAATTCACTTAAACAATCAATGTTTTGAGTTAGTTATCTCGAAAAAGCCTTGACAAGAATAAGAATGTGGAAGAAAGGCTCAATTTTCTTTGGGGAACATTCAATGTTCCATTGCTGCGATTCTGTGGGGTTCATGGTCATGGGAGCCCACATAAGGCCACACAAGAATTTCAACAAGTGTATAATCCAGGTGTCCCAGCCAATGAGTAGTCCACGCTTCTTGGGTTGTCTTTTCTTCGCCTGGATTGTCACATTGCCAACATTCATCATCATTGACAAGGCAAAACCTAGGTTTTTCGCACAAAATACAGCAGGGTCACCTATATCCACTGGTTAATCACCTCTCTATCCGCACAGTGTCTGCCCATTGACAATGGAGCATGAGAATACCCAATTATCAGACAATCCCACATCATTGAATGGTTGGCTGAACCGAGGTCCTCTATGCTAGGGATTACTCTTAGGCTTTGGCAATGGACACGAATGTGCATGCACCGATACCTAAGTCTCCAAGCGAATTCAGACAATTCTCAGCCACACAACTCCGAACTACATCCAAAAACTGCCAAAGGTGTATAGTTACAAACAAATCGGGGCAAAATTGTTTGGATATTTCAGGTTACTTTTTTTTTGTCTAAGATGATCCAAGATGATCCAAGATCTATAGTATAGTTACTAGTATTAATAGCACCAAACGGAAAAAAAAGTCTCGATCTCCGGTTGGTTGGCTGAGTGCTGCAACTCAAAATTGCCGCGGCGAGGGCCGAGATCAACCTCGGGGCCAACAAGTCTCCGTGCTGAGCGGCTGAGCGGCTGCCATTATACGACAAGGTCAGCCAGGCCCCAGGCAATGTTGCGGGCAATCCAGAGACTGGGGGGCCTTGCGGGCAAGAAATGCAACCACTAATCCCTTCCCCGAAAATTGAAGTGTATGGAAACAGTGCATCTAACTTGTTTTTGCTATTCATGGTCAATTATGTGTTTAACTATATGCTTATCTATCCATGTATTTATCTGTTTATTTATCTATTTATTTATTCATTCATTTATCTAGCTATTTATCTATTTATTTATTCATTCATTCATTCATTTATTTTTGTATTTATCTATGCATTTATTTTTGTATTTATTTATGTATTTATTTATGTATTTAATTATTTACTAACTTGTTTATACAGTTGCAATCATTTGATATGTTATGTGTGTTTGTACACTGGAGTGTGTGTGTGTGTGTGTGCATGTGTTTTTATTTATTTATTTATTTCATAAATGTGTATATATATATATGTATACATACATATATTGTATGTGTCAAATAGAAATCTCCCGCATAGGGGATCCGAAATCGAAGGGATCCAACACTAAACCAGGCAACTGGGGGGATGCTGAGGCCACTGCGTCAAGTCACAGGCCCTCTTTCACACGTACAAACACGCTTGCACGCGCTCCTGTCCACGACGCATCTTTGATGCTTCCCTACCATGACCTGTTGCATGGTTCAGTGCCCAATTGACTAATCCACATCAATGGGCTCTCGATGGTGTGGAGGATCTGGATCATCCTCCAGAAATTTTATTTTCGCATTTGCTGGAACCTTCCAGGCAGGTTCATTGCTGGTGGCTGGTCGCAAGGCCACTGCACTCAACACTGGCTGCACCGGCACCGGCCGCGCTTTTCGCGAGGCCGCCCCCAGTTGCGACCTGCGGCGCAGTGCGAAGCTGTGCCGGGGCTTGGCCTCGCCAGGCTCCAGCTTGACCCACTGGATGCAGCCTTTCTTGTGGCGATATGGCTGTGGCTCAGCATAGCGGAGCTTCTTGTCCAGGACCCAGGCAAAAACCTGCAGATTTGACAGGCTGGAAGCAGCACTGACCCGGATGACACCTGCACATAGTAAAGGTTGTTTCCACGGTAAATTCATATCAGAATCATAATCATCATAAACTCTTGATTGTTGCAACCTTACCTCGCCAGCACACCTCCAACCTTCGCTGTCCCTGCCTTAGAATAGGGCACCCAGCTGAGGTCTTCTACGCAATGCTTCGGCAGATTCTCGTGCGCGCCGATGAAGTTCTGCACGTCCTGGGGGCTGTTGCTCCAGGGGACCAGCTTGCCATCCACCTTCCGGCCCACCTTCAGGCAGTTGACAACTTCAACCTGGAAGGCCAAAAGAAACTGGGAAGGTCCAGCATGGTCCAACCGAGAATTTCAGTCTGTTGGGGTTATCTCCTTGCACATTGATACCAAGTATTGTGACAATGTACATGATCTAAATGATCTCAGATGTGGATGGGAAACTTGAAACAAGTGAACACAAGATGGACAAGGAAGTGCCCTACCCTAGATTCGCGTTTATCAAATTGCACTTGCAACGTGTTGGAGCTGAAAATCCCAAAAAAGAATAAACAAAGATGTGAGTTTGCAGCCAAGAACTTCTCCCACCAGCATTTGCGACTTCGATTGTGCGATACAAATGCGGCCTCTCTTCGCCAAAGAACTTCCTCGAATCTCCCAGATCTTGCTTCCCTCGAAGATCTCATCACACCAGCGCTTCTTGATAACCAGTGCCACCCCGGGCCGTTGCAGCTGTGGGGCCGCGTCAGCCAGCCGTTTCCCGGCGGCTGCCAGCAACTCATCACAGTCAAGGACTGGAGGTGGAGCTGAAACTCGGTTATAAAAAAAAAACTTGGACTTCCGACGTGCTTGTGGTTTTAAAAGTGATGCCCTGGAGTTGTCAATCCGGGACATCAATGGCGAAGCTTTTGGAGGCGGTTTTTCAGCAGTGGGATCTTTCATCGACCGGCTGAGTTTGTCCAGGAAGCGCTCAGACTTTCCTGACTTTGGATGGAGATCTGACCCTGACTCAGGTGTAGAGCCGTTTGGCTCAATTGTTTCACCTGGAGTGACCTGCTTAGCTAGTAGCTTCTCGGGTGTATCCGTCCTGAGCTTCAGGAACCGCACCTTCGCAGAAGGTGGATCTTTTGGAGCAGCTGGCAACCTCTTGGACTTTGGGGTACCCAGAAAGTCCGGTCCAATGAGTCCATCAAGATCTTGTCTCGGGACCGGTTCCAAGCTATCATCGCTGTCGATGGTCTCGATTTCATCTGGCGCTTCCATCGTTTTCTCTGAAAAGCATGTCTTTTCTTTGCAAGTCTTGCAGTCCCTGGAGATGATCGTGCCAAGCGGGGCCTCATCATCAGAGTCGCAAACGATCGCAACTTTTCTCTTGCACAGTTTCTCCCAGCCCATGGCTTTGGACAGGGGCCCGCCACCAGGCCACCATGCTCAATTGGTCTGGCTAAGTTTGTCAGGTCATGTCACATTTGCCAAGTTCACGTCAAGTTGCCAAAGGAGCTGGAGTTTTCTGGGTTTGGGCTGGTGTTCTGACCCATGACACTGATTTGTTTTCATCTTGTGCCTGCCTCATTGTCAACATGGGGTCGCCCACCTTCAACCATACTGCTGCGGATGGATTCACTCCTCACCTGAAAACTCCGATGCAAATGATGAATCGGAATACTGTAGTTGACCAGAAATGACAATTGGATTTGGAAAGGCAGTGTCCCGTCCTATCCAACACAACTTTTAAAACTGCTCCATTTCAAATTTCAGACTTCTGGGCATCACAAGGCTGGAAGCAGCTCACAAGCACGTACGCTATGCACACCAACCCGCGTAAGCCTGCGTTTCCGAGGAAAACCATTGGCTTCGTAGTTTCCTGGGTCACCGCTACATGGCAGGCGGTAGGCGGTAGCACCTTCCACACGAGGACCCGTAAGCCTCTTCCATCCCAAAAATTGTTAGAAAAGTTGGCGCAACCAAAAAATAAGTGGTAGCAATGGACCCACTAAATTCACAAAAGTCTACATCTCTCTCTCTCTCTCTCTCTCCCCATCGCGTTCAGGATACATGTTTTGTATTGTTTTGTATTCAACCATCCAATTTGCCGTTACCACATGTTTTCGGCGGTTTTTGGCGCGGCCGTTTATAATACCAGCCAGTTGTTAAGAAATAAGTCTAATTTTGTGATGTTTATAGATTGAAATGGCTCATTCAGCATGGTGGATTAACATGCATCCTTAGGCCCCGCGCGTACCACAACGGAGCCGCCTCTGAAACAAAGCTTCAAAGCTTCAGCTGTTTGGTTTCCAAGGGACACACTGTCAAGGGCCTAAAATGATACACAAGGGACATGTGGGAAGAGTTTTTGGCGCCAAAGTCTGGCAAAATCTTTAAACTATTCGGAGCTTGAGCTGCAAAGCAACTGGCAACTGGCACACAAACCTTAGCCTTAGCCGCTCCTGTACATGTTGTGACTTGTGACCACAGATCCTGAGTAGACATGGAACGCACGACACGCAAGACACGCAAGTCACTGGAGTGATGTCAGCCTGAGAGGTTCATTTGGTGGCAATTAATTCGCTAGGGGGCTGACGTTTACCCAAAATCCACGGAATTCCATGCGGGATTGCAATCTGCTGGATTGTTTCAGCGCGCGTTTTTCGCAAACTGCTAGCATACAACATATTGATATTACCTGCGTCTAATTGCACCCTTGCGCTTACCTACAACAGTGCCAAAATCACCCTTTGAACCATGCCCTCAACATATTCTCCGTAATTCAAACAGTGCTTCGAGCTGTTAAGTAAAACCTCAACAAACAGTCAAGCCTTGAAGGAACCCCAAAACAACCCAACCCTAAATAAACCCTGAAAAACCCTTATCAAACCCTAAACCAACCCTGAATCAACCCTAAATCAACCACAAATACCCTTAAAGAGACCCTAAAACAAACCTGAATAGACCCTGAAACAACCCCAATTGCATCAAACATTAACTAAACCAACCCGAAATAAACCCTAACAAACTGAGAAAATCTCAATCATCCCTAAGTAAACCCTAAAACAGTTGTAGGATGTTGTAGGTAAATCCTAAGCTGACCTCAAGGCTAGACCCCCTATGAAACTCTTGGGCGAAGGTCCGCCCCTTTGGGCGTTTGTGGCAGAACCACAACGGGCCATGCCTGCAACTGCCTCAGTTCTCGCACGAATCACCACTGGGCCATAGTTCGCTGAGGTCGGGACTGAAGGTTGACCTATTCATACCCAATATTGGTAAAACAATATTTGGTTGGTGGTTGAGCCTACCCCTCTGAAAAATATAAGTTGGTCAATTGGGGTGATCATTTCCAACTGAATGGAAAAATAAAAAATTTCCCAAACCACCAACCAGATAATTAACCACCCATGTGGGACTGGTAGATGTACCACCTATAAAAATTGTGATTTGGGCGCCTTGGGGGATGGTTTATGATCCCAACGGCGCAGATGGATGCCATAGCTGCCAAGGCCCCTGCGTTGTCGTGAGCCTCTGCAAGGTTCTGCAGGCAAAGACCTAGCACAGGCCGGTATCTGCAGCAGCGCGGGCTTGTCTTAGATACAGATGAAGGCATGGCTATAGATATAGCTAGTAGAATTGTTAGATATAACTATAGACATGGATCCTGGATGTATATATATATATATACATGTATATAACTGTGGGTGTGGATGCTGGAGATAGATATGGATATTTTTAATCGAAGGAAGTTTGGAAGCTAAACTTCAGACAATATGGAAATGGAAAGCACAGCCAGGAACAAGCTCAGACAAGGTGAAAATCAGAAGAGAGAAGATCAGATAGGGAGAAAGTCAGAAGAGAGAAGATGCAGGTGCGCGCAAAGGTAAGAACGTCGCGAAGCACTGTTTTTTCAATGTTTTGTGGCTCCGGCAGGTCGAAAACGACGCTCGCTGAAGCGGCGGGCGCGGAGGCATCTGGGCAGATGAGAAATGAAAAATTGCGGCCGTTGTGGCGCGAAGCTCATTTCCAAGTCAAAATGTACAAAACACCTCAGCCCGGGACCAGGTGTCGAAAAAGTGTGCGCCACTGTGGCGCGAAGCATGTGCAAAACACACCAGCTCCGGACCACTTTTCCAAGTTGAGATGTCGAAAAAGTGCACGCCGCTGTGGCGCGAAGCACATTTGGAAGTGAAAATGTTAAAAACACCATATGCTCGGACCAGTTTTTGACGATTCGATGGCGATTCGATGTCCAAAACGTGCACGCCGAAGCACGTTATGAAGTGAAAATGTTAAAAACACCACATGCTCGGACCACTTTTTGGCGATTCGATGGCGATTCGATGTCCAAAAACTGCACGCCGTTGCGGCGCAAAGCACATTTGGAAGTCAAAAGTGTCAAAAACTAGGTTTTGCTAAGCCAATTTTGAAGTGTCAGTTAACTGAACTAACTCATATAACTAACTTCAGTAATTCAACCAACACCACAACAACAACGACAACAACAACAACAACAACAACGACAACGACAACGACAACGACAACGACAACGACAACAACAACAACAATAACAACAACAACAACAACAACAACCACGACAACAACAACAACCAACCAACCAACCAACCAACCAACCAACCAACCAACCAACCAACAACAACAACAACACCAACACCAACACCAACACCAACACCAACAACAACAACAACAACACCAACAGCAACAACAACAACAACTACTACTACTACCACTACTACTACTACTACTACTACTACTACTACTACTAGTACTAGAACAACAACAACTACTACTACAACTACAACTACAACAACAACAACAACAGGAACAACAACAACAACAACTACTACTACTACAACTACAACTACAACTACAACTACAACTACAACAACAACAACTACAACAAGTACAACAACTACAACTACAACAACTACCAGTAGTACCGCACAAGGCGGTGGCGGAAGTTTCAAGATAGGAAACCTATAGGAGAGGTTCGTTGTTTTGAGTCATGGATGGCAGAGCGAATCCAGTGATGGATCGAAAGGTGGTTGGAGCGTCAACCTATCTATTTGTCTATCTATCTGCCTAACTAACTAACTAACTGACAAACTAGCTAAGCTAACTGACTAACTGACTAACTGATTAACTGACTACATGACTAACTGACTAACTGACTAACTGGCTAACTGATGAACTGACTAACTGACTAACTGACTAACTAACTAACTGACTGGCTAACTAACTAACTGACTAACTAACTAACTGACTGACTAACTAACTGACTAACTGACTAACTGACTAACTAACTGACTAACTGACTAACTAACTGACTGACTGACTGACTAACTGACTCACTGACTCACTGACTCACTGACTGACTGACTGACTGACTAACTGACTAACTGACGAACGGACTAACTGACTAACTGACTGACTAACTAAGTCACTAACTAACGAACTAATTACCAAACTAAGCGACGAACTGACTAACTGACTATGACTAACTGGCTAACTGACTAACTGACTTACTGACTAACTGACTAACTGACTAAAAGCTAAGTGACTAACTGACTAACTGACTAACTGACTAACTGACTAACTGACTAACTAACTAACTAACTTACTTACTAACTGACTAACTAACTAACTAACTAACTGACTAGCTGACTAGCTGACTAACTGACTAGCTAACTAACTAACTGACTAACTGACTAACTAACTGACTGGCTGACTGACTGACTAACTAACTGACTAACTGACTAATGACTAACTGACTAACTGACTTACTAACTGACTAACTAACTGACTACCTAACTAACTAACTAACTAACTAACTGACTGACTGACTGACTAACTGACTAACTGACTGACTGGCTAACTGACTAACTGAC